ATATTAAAAGCATCGCTTTTCATAACACACAAGTAAAATTGTCCCAATTAGTAACATAGTTGCATGCCATACTACTACTACTACAAAATAGCTTGAAAATGAAACCGCCTCTTTGAGATCAGACTATTTTATTCATCAGGAAGCAGATCTACTGTGCACCCAAACATTTCTAAATTTCCAAAGTTACTGTTGGTGCAACAGCCACCACGAGTTTCTCTGAGACACAGAGCCATAAAGAGGAAAGCTGTTGCAAGAGCCAGAACTTTTCCTTGGTACCATCCTCAGCTCATTTGGACTACCAGATACTACCGAAGGACAGTCAAGCTCACTGTGCCGGCATGAACTTGCAGGTCACTTTCTTGGGGCAACATGGGTGACAGCAGCGTCCATTCAGGCTCTGACATTCTCTGAACCTCTTGGCTGGCACCCAGAAAGAGGTAGCTCCAACCTTACAATACTAAAAGATTACACAACCTCTACAACCTGGAAGCTGTCTTTAAGAAGCATTCAGATACCATGGCCAGAAACATGAACAAGAGCCTCAACAGATCAGTCAGCCTTCAGAACGCACATATTCCCTTATCTGTAATAGTCAATGGCAGACAACCATAGATTATTTGCCTTGTTTTCAACCGACTGCCCTGCTTCTCCCTGGAGAAACTTGATTTTCTTTTTCCTAAGTTACTGCAAGTTCTGTGAGCAGTTAGAATAAATTTTCATGAATCAAAAGGTAAAGGACTTAGTCCAACAAACACATTAGGAAGCTACAATATCATGAGCCATTTCAACTAAACTGAACACTCCCAAAACCTGGATTGTTCTTTCGTGCGCTTGACTTAAGAAAGCAGAGAATAGAGTTCAGTTTACAAAGGAAATATCCACTCCTCAGGAAAAAGATGACTTTCACAGAAAGTCACATTGAGAAGATATTTCTCATTTCCAAGAGAATTCCAGCAGAGAACAAGCAAAATATACTCTCAGGGTATAACATAATGTAACAGAAATTAACTGTAACGCATGCACTGAATTTTGCCACAATATCCTATGAGTAATCATTATTATGACTTGGGGAAACTTTCCAGCACAGGCAACAAAAATAACTGTGATCTAGCCTCTGTCGCTTTTCTTTTGTCACTCTCTTGAAAAAATTGCTGCTATGCATGCAAAATCCAAGTAGCATACGCTCTGGCAGCCAGTCACTGGAGACACAGGTCTGATGTCAACTTACAGCTTTAATGCTGCCTAAATCCAGGAAGTCCAGACCCAAAGGCAGTTATCTCAAGAAATGCAAAGCTGCATATAGACTCTTATAGAAACCTAAACACATCCACACAAAATGCCTCCCCTGCCTCTACCACTAACGCCAACACTGTCTATTCCTTTAATATCTGAAAGATTCTCTTCTACCGAGACACTTAAAAATCAGTCAGTTGACAACTAGTGAGCCAACAGACAACGGATGTAAATCACACTCTGATGACTAATATCAGTATGCACATACAAATAAAGCACTAAGATCAATTGCACTATTATTTTTGCGTTCATGTCTGTCTTCATGAGAAACTGGAGAGCAGGAGTGTACCTGCATGTGTCCTATGTGCCTGAGTACTGCTATGCCATAGTACTAAAAGCAATTATAAGTATTAAATTACAACTGATGACTTATTAGTTACCATCGTTTCCTTCCTTTTAAAGTACAGAACTAAGAAAACATTCCCACAGATATTAGGAAATGTGTATCAACACTAAAAAAATAGGATTTATAGCAACATATCTAACACAAGCTTCAACTAATTTAAATTCATGGCATATTTATGAAATAAAAGATTAACATCTTCATTTACAGAGGTGAAACTGAGGAAACTATTTATTTATTTAACATAGGAAATCAGCAGTAGAGAAAGGAAAGGAACTTAGCTCCAGGTCAAGACTTTGCTAAAAAGAGCATCCACCCCCTCAAGAACAGAGATTTTTTTCAGAATCTACTTTCAGTAAAGATCTGCAACATTTGCCATGAAAACAGAAATAAGGGAAGCTTAGAATCATTTGAGTATGTGCTACTGAGGTGTGACATTTGTTAGAATACCAGACTTATTGATATCTGTCTTTACTATTGTGAAACTCTGACTGAAATCAGACCTTGAGGGTTGAGCTGCAACAGGTTCATTCTTCATGACACATACCCAACGCAGCAGTGGATGCATGCTTGTGAACAGCTTACTCTACCCACTATATTGCATGACTATCGTCTTAGCAGTATCACCTATGTGGTAGACCATTGAACCAAACCAAATAATCAAGCCTATGTAAAGAACTTTAGTCAAAGATACTTTTGCATACCTGCTGATTAAAAAAAAAAAAAAAAAAAAAAGTTGACCTTGTGAGATTTTTGAAGAAGCAAACACATTAGAGATTCAACACCTGCAGCAAAGCCAGGCCTGTTCTTCATGTTCCCTTAATGTTTAATCAGGTAACATCCGTACAGCACTTTGAGGGTGAATAACAATTATCATTATTATTGCTGAGAAAATACTGAAGTCTTTAAAGTCTGTGTATTCTGAGTTCATAACAGAAATCTAAACTGAAAAAACAGACAGATCTGAACAGTTTTGTCTGTAATTCCTTTATATATATTCTGTGTCTTACACTGCGTGAAGTAACTAGTGCAGAATGTTTTTACAAGCCATCTCCTCTACCATCATGCAGACTATATCATCCCTGGCTCGAGTAAGAGCAAGCAAAAAAGTCTTGTGCTGGTCATGCACTGTAAATCAGAGAGTTCAAAAAATGTTTGAACAAAGTGCAGTAATGCAACAAATGCAAAACTGATCTCCATCCCAAATGTGAAATTAAGAGTCCTTTTAGTACTAAGTGTGACTTTGTAAACATTATAACTAGAAAAAAAGAATTTGCATCCCTGAAAAATTAGCTCTTTCTGAATCAAACTATTCACAGCAGAACAACAGAGAGAGGTCAAGAGAGATACCTGTAACTTCCAGAAAAATACCATCAAAAATGCTAGTAATAAAATTACTTAACAGATTGGGATTAAACCCCATCTAACATCACTAAAATGCTGATCAATTTTTTCTTTTTTACATGCAACTGAATCTCCTTTTTCTTCCATGATGGCCACTAGATATGTCCTAAGAAAAATAATTTTGAAACATTTATTGCTTGACCACCAAATCTTGACACTCCTTGAACAAAATATGTCTGCATTAAATGTTACACAATCACTGAAAAAACTTTGAAAATTTGCCTGGTTTTAGGACTATGAAAACCTACTGTTGCCAAATTCAATTTATGAGTTGCAGCCAAAAGTCAGACACGTTTTATGTTATGATTAATTTGAGTATGTAAAGTAGTAAAGATGAGTCCAGCCATGTTCAGCTGGAGCTTAGATCTGTGGAGTGCAAGGCCTGCATTCTACATAGTCTATTAATAAGATTAAAAGGGAAATAAATAAAAAGAAAATGTAATGCTAAAGTTAGCTACTAATTACTAGCCCTGTGTGTTCACCATTGACTTATTGACAGAATAAAAGAGAAAGTTTTAAAACAAAAGAAGAGGAAGGTTTTAGTAAGAATTTTTTAAAATCTCTTTTCCTCTTTTGGGGGATTTATCTTACTATAGTCTTTCCCCATGCCCTCTCCTACCAACCTTGCATAATTTTCAGAAGCAAAATTATGGTTCATAAAGCAGTGCAGGTTTGGTGGCTGGTAAAGATTGCTTGACACTGAGAAAGTAACTAAGATTCTGATTCATTTCTTGAAGCTTTGTTACCCAATTTTCTTTGTATATTTCAGTATGCAAGCAGAAATCTATGGATAATTATTAGCTGGATTGCACCACAAACTTGTTCAACCACAGAAACATCTTATTTTTTTGTAAAATGCATCACAAAAGACATGTTGTAAGAAATCTCATAGGATACACGCAGGAAAGAACTATTCAAGTGATTTTTTTTTTTTAGTACCATTTGAGGTAAAATGAAAGTAAAATGCAAAAGTAGAAGATGACAACTTCTTTTGCATGTTAAATACTTTTGTATACGTGACTTTCAGGCAAATGGTAAGATTGTAAATTGCAAATATATACTACATAGAAGTACCTCTTTGTTGTTGAAATTCTCTTCAATATAGTTAGTTTTATTATTAATCAGTATATCAGTATACAAACTTCCATTAGAAGTAATACTGTTATGTCATTACTTGTTCAGTGATCTAAACATTAATATTTTTAATTAATTTTTTTACATAATAGCCAGTAACATTTATATCTGCTTCAAGTGAAGGTAAATAGCCACTGACATCCATAATACAAACCATCTTGAAATAAAGATACAAAACATACTACGCAAGAGTTTTCCCTGAGCAATTACAAAATGTTTGGGACTAGTCAAGAAAGAAAACCCAAGCAGCCACCTTCAGGCTGTCTCAGGAGTACTCATAAGGACAAAACTATAGTTTTCATCCAAAAGATCAAAATTCTAGGAACTTCTGCCCCATCAATGTCCTTTTGTTTCTACCAAGATTTTCATGTAGGCGATGTGCCAATGGATGTGCTTCATTACACAGTTTCAAGATAGGTTTATAGAAGGCATAAAATAATATCCCCCCTCTCAAAAAGCTGAGAGAGTGTTATAGTGGTTTTATAAATTGTATGCCATACTGTAAGGTAAAGGTAGGACAAAGCCCTAGTTAGTAACCGCCTACTAAAGTACGACAGAAAACTCACACCTTTAATTCGCCCAAAGGCTGCAATTTGCTGATGCCATTGCTTTAACACACCACAGTACAGACTAACAGGTCTGCATACATGCATAATAATGTAAGTCAGAATACAAACAGCTACTGCCTCTCTCAATGTTAATTAAATCACTGAAAATTCTGCTCATATAAACTTGGGAAAATAACGGGTTCAAACTCTCTGTTAAAGAACCATCCTCACATGCAATAGGGCTGTTTACCAACTACGATGTTTAGATTTCCTCTTACCTCCAGTGTCAGGTACACAGTGCTGATTGCCACTTTGATTTCTCCATCTGAAATCTCCTTGAGATCCTTCAGCATAATCTCCTCAATACTTACACCTGTTTGAGAAGAAAGGAAGTTCAATAAGTACAAGTATCTACAACTGACCAGATGCTGCAACATAAACTAAAAACACAGCTTAGACCTTAATGTTGAGCCTCCTGTATTTTAGGATGTCCTATGAGAAAATTAAAACCAACATTAATACTTTAATGCTTAATGTTTCTAGAGTGATTTTTTAAGGAAAGAAGAGATTTGAGGGGGCAGTGGGGGGGGGAGCAAAGGATGAAGAATTAAGTCTCCTGCAATTAAGTTGTGTGAACACTCACATTTTTTAAGTAAACTGAATTCCAGTTAATGATAAAGGTATACATAGATGATTACTATGGTCTAACATAAAATCACTAATATGCAACACTATAATGTGTAACATATTGAATGAGTGATATATTGAAAAGCACATGTGGAATACTATGGTATTTATAAAATATTCAAAGCAAGCAGTTAAGATATTCTGTAAACACAAAGTCATTCAACCTTTCTGACCTTCCTCACAAATTGATACCAACACTAATGCATTCTTCTTATATACATCAAATGGTGAATGAACCAACTAGATGTTTACGCACTGCAGAAACAGAAGTACATATTATCATCAGAAACACCAGTATAAAATTGGAATTGCTTCACATTAACCAGACATGTTGATATGTTTAAGTACAATGTATTGAAAATCCATATGATTAAGTTTCTTTAGTGGGAGATGTCTGTCTAAAATGCTCTAAAGATTCTCAAAATAAATATATATCATGTATAGGAACATGGTCATATCACACAATCAAAAATATAGACATGATAGCCAAATGTCTATAAAAAGAAAGCTGCAAGCCACTTACTTCAGCAGGGTGGCAACTAAAGTGTCCACAGACTTTTAAAGCTTGGCAGCATAACTTCCAAAATGTGTTTGCATAAGTTATTTTTAAGAGGGAACCAAATAACAACTTAAGCCAAAAAAAAAAGAATCTTCTCATTACTGTTCCTGTATAGGGTCCAGCTACTGCATTCAATCTAATGACAAGATGAGCTGGCTAACTTTCACATGCTTCTTATATTTACACACTTGTCCTTCTAAAAATATTTATTGGTAACATGTAGACTTTCTGGTGGGCTACAACCCACTGTGCCTCAAATAACAAATTAATTCATGAATTCAGGCAAATAAATCATTATTTCTGCATGAAACTGAGACCTTTTTTTGATTAATTGTCCTAATACTGCCTGAAATAACAGGTACATAAGGTAAAATATTGAGTAGCGGTTAGTGCCTTCAAAGAACTTCAGAAATGCAACAGCAATTTACTAACACAAATGCCACATGAGCGTATGCAGTGCTGAATATGTACCTTGTAATACATAGCAAACAGTAGCTATGAGGAAAAAAAAAAAAGGTATATGACATTGCCCTCCTCATGTGGCATATAAAAATTATTGGCAACCAGTGCCATGCAAACTGAATCCATTATATCTACTTGTCCGTTATGTCTACTTTACATTGGATATTAGGGTAAACTTCATAGGCCAAGTACATGACAAACTACTAAACCATCTTCCCAGGCAACTGGCAGAAGTAAGGACTGAGTTCCATAAAAGCCACTTTAACTGGGTCTCTCCAACCCAGGCTGCATTCAGTTCATTTCCGATTCCTTGACTAACGTCTGGAGGAAGTTTAGGGAACTATGTGAAGATTTATAGCCCTGAACTAATTTAGCCTTGACCTCACTGAAAGAAAGAGCAAAGGAAGCAGCACCTCAAATTCTGTCCTTAACTACCAGCTAGGGCAGCCATCTCAGGCTGACAGTCTGAATTCAGATGAGAAGATTCTGCAGATGGGTGGATAAAGAACAGTAAAAAAGACTATGAGTCTGCATGCAGTCTGTGCATACCTGATATATCTAACAAAGAAGTGTGTCAGTAATTCAATACTCGCTCTTTGGTAACAACTTGGTAGCAAATGCCATTTAACAAAGACAGTAAAAAATGTGAGAGTTATTGCAACAATTTTGTTCAGGGTTTCAGAGCATCCCTTCGAAGGCCTGCTACCAAATTGTGGGTTCAAACATTCCCGCTTTTGATCACTGAAAAAAATGACAACTGCGTTCATCTATTCCTAGCAGAAGGAAATGAAAGAATTGCAATTTTCCCACTGCTTCCTTAATCTTAGTCTGAAGTCAAATTCACTTTACCTGTACAGAGCCCTTGATAAATTTGGGAAGGTTCAACAGATAAAATCCACTCCCACACCATGTAGGCAATTGCAGCACAATTTCTGTACATGAGCTGACATGTTGATTATGCCTCTATACTTCATGAACACAAATTCTTGACTAGAATACACTTGTAAAAGCAATATATGAAATAAATTAATGTTTACTTTATGTGTAAAAGTAATACAAGATTATTTAAGAGTTTAGTAGTTCCTCAACAGAAATCACAATTCCATGATTCAGAATGTAAGCCACTTTTAATTTAAAATTAAATATAATTACATGTAACTGTCAATGAAGATAGCATGCTGCAATTATTTTCACCACACACAATAAGCCAATATATTCTGATACAGTTACATAACTAAATTTGTAAAAGGTCTGAAAAATAAAAGCAAGTTACAGTACCTTGTTGGTTACACTGAGTCTCCTGGAGAACAGAGATAATTTCCTCTCGTGGGGGAAGGCCTGGAAACTTTTCCTCTAGGATTGACAGTACTTTCTCTTGCTGCTCTGTAATTCTGTCAGCCTCCAAAGACATGCACTTGAAGAGAATGCTTCCTGAAACATTGAAAGACAAAAACAAATGCCTCCTGTAATCAGCAAAGAGGTACTACAGAAACAGGAATGTTTACTGTATCACCATCCAAACGCTTTCCTTCTTTGAGTTGTTTCCACTGATGAGTTCACTGAATTACATATTGAAAGCTTTTCATGCAGAAACATCCTCCTAACATGAAGGCAGTTTCTAAAATCTGAACTGGGTGCCTTATCAGGGCCTACGCTACAGCTAACTGGCTGGTCCCAGTGCTGCCGCGCGGCATGCTTCTGTACGTCCTACATAGCTCTGCAGCATGGCTACTAGCAAGCGCTGGGTCACCAGGGCTTGTTCTTCTCTCTACGCATTAGACCAAGTGTTGGTATACTTGGAAACTGTAAATCCACATTGCCAACCTTCCTTCCACAGACCTGTCAATGAAGTGCTACAATGGACATAAGGAAGAAATTCTTCACTGTGAGGGTGGTGAGGCACTGGAACAGCTTGCCCAGAGATGCCCCCTCCCTGGAAGTGTTCAAGGCCAGGTTGGATGGGGCTTTGGGCAACCTGGTCTAGTGGAGGGTGTCCCTGCCCATGGCGGGGGGGGTGGACTAGATGATCTTAAAGTCATTGGTCATTTTGGTGTAACTGACTCTGGCTAATTTATCGTCAATGAACATACCAAAAAAGCACAGCACATTCAGCCAAAGTGATTCACTCAGTCTTAAAATTTAAAAGAAACATAATCCAATAAATAACTTCACCATAATTGGTATGCTCATACAATATAGAGGTGGGTTTGATGTCTTTTTGGACCACTATGTGCTGCACGTATTCCATCCGAGATGTGAAACTTTCCTGATGGTTCAAGGTTTAAAGTCAGCCTTTCACTCCCTGGAGACTGAGATCCCATTTATTAATATACCCAAAGATAGCCTTCACTTCCAATTACTCACACTAAATTAAGTGTAATAAAATCTTATACTTCAGCACTGAAAATATTTATTACTGTACTGTGCATAGGGATTTCAAACAAGCGTATGATTGCATTGCATCATGCTAGGTCAATGGGCAAATCAGTACAATAGTATAAGATAGTTGTTGTAAGCCAAAATATTTAGGTTTTAGCACAGAGCCAAGAGAGGGAAAGAAAAACTTGGACACAGCCATCCTCAATCTCATTAGACTGACTAGGACCCAAACATCTCGTATGCATCCGTTTTTCTCCTACACTGCCATCACAAAAGTGATGAAAAGCATTTCTTCAAAATTCATAAAGCACTTGCAACACAAAAAATTTTGCCATGCTAAGTACACACCTCCTTATTAGACAAATCCTGTGTGGATTAAATACTTAGTAATGCTTAACAAGCCAAAAGCTGTTCCCCATCAGATATAATTTTCTGGAAATTCACACACATGAAATTCCATTCTGTGTTTCTGTTGCAGATATTGTAATATTCTTCTAATATTACAATAGAAGAAGAATGTTCTTCTAATTTTCCATGTTTCTTTCTTTATGTCAGTCTCATCATCATTTTAAGATAATGCTCCTGCCCTATTTGATAGTATTAAAAAAATATTAAAGAAATGCAGACTGCATGAAAATCATGCAGAATTACCCAGAATGACATTTGTAAATTTACATACATACAACATGGCTCCACAGCAAGCAGATTTCAGATGACTACAGGTAAATAACTGACATATAAACCACCCAAGATAGATACATATAGATAGATAGATAGAGATAGATAGAGATATATAGATAGATATAGATATAGATATAGATATAGATGATATAGATATAGATTAGCAAGACCTATTTTTCAGTCCCTTTTATATGAAGTAATCAGTAGCCTCCAGTATAATTCATCTAACAATATCCTTTCATTGTTCCCACCTCTAACCAGGTAACAGCGCCTGTGCTACCTATTCTTATCCATACCTTGGGAAGGGCAGTGACGAGAACGAGTTATCTGGCCCACAGCACACTCCCAGTCAGCACAGAGCTGCACCTGGATAAATAGCAGCTCAGGGACCAGGTTGCATGAATTATTTTAGCAATAGCAATCTTCTGCTTTTTCAGCACCCTTTTTTTTTCTTCCTCCAGGAGCAGACAGGGAAATTGCTCAGGCACATACAATGGAAATGGAGATTCCAGCAGAAAGTACTGGACCTACAATCCACGCTCAAATTCACCATACAGCTACCTACTGGAGGGAGGCTGTAGCATATCCCATACAGCCTCCCAGCAGCACTAGGATAAGCTAGGCAGTCTGTCCATCTGCATAGGTCCTCAGACACACAACGTGTCAAACTTTTACCACAGCTGAGCTGTGCTTCAGGGAGCGAGTATTTGGGGAAGACCAAGAAGAGAAAATCCTAACACAAACATACTGGAAATGCAGTAAAACAAGATGTGTGGATTGTATATCCAATCAAGCTTAGCAGTTTTGAAGTCAACATGACGTGAGCTTCATTGTCTGCCTAATTATACAGAAATTACTATGTAGCGGGTTCATTGTCAGGTCAGCAACTTCTTACGCATTTTAGCTCCTTATACTACAAATCATTCCAGCTTCATTACAGGATTGATTGTGAATTGTGTGATAACTACCCACAGTTTTTATCCAGTCAGTCCTGGATTTCAACTAAGCTGTAAGACAAATGCAGAACTGTGTCCTTCCTAAAGCATAATAAAAGCTGAACCATACAGAAACAGTCAAATGAAGACAGTTTCTGAGTCTCAGAATTTAAGAAAAAGTATTTTCTCCTGCTTCTCACAGAAGAAATTCCCAAACTATTACAATAAAATGAAATAGACTATATAACTAAACTTTTTTCTATGTCATTATTTCAAATAGTTGATGCTCCCATCTAGCACAGGTAGTTTCTACTGTAAAGTTCAGGACTGGGCCACCAAATTAAACTGACTAGCTCCAGACCTAACGTAGCCCAGCCCTTCTAAAGCCAAGCAAAAGGGCATTGGGAGGCAAGACAAGAAAGAAATTGAACAAAGAAGAGGAAAAGTCTTGTATTTCTCCAATTGCAGGAAATAGAAGAACTGGCAGCAGAAAGCTGTGGTTACATCAAGACAGGTTCTAGCAGCCAGGTCAGTATCTGGCAGTGATTTTAACAAGTGCCTGATCTACAGCAGCTATGTAGCACCAAAAATCACCACAAGTATCTCTTTGCTAAAATAATACATGGATTTCTTTCACCCAAAGCAGTTCTACTATAGTGTTGCAGCAGCATTGCTCATGCCAATAAAACTAGCTTAATTCTCACAAACACATGGCTTGGTGAAAGGAAACTTTTACACTATTTATCTATTCCCCAATCAAAAGGAAGGGAAAGGCTGCCTAGGACACACTATGGCAGCCTACCATGCATTTCTATAGGTACCAGTGTGCATTTATCTCTTGCTTTCACACGTGTGACAAATTCTTGCTTTCTTCGACAGTAAGGCCATCTTGGATTTGATATCACCTTTGGCAGGACACAGAAATTACTGTAAAGTTGTAAAACCAGAATGTGTTTAGACATGCACTGTACTGCAGCATCTAAATGCAAATCTTTGCCTTTCACTGCTCAGTTCATCTCAGAGTCAATCCCCTTGCATATTTTGATCAAGGATGACATCTTCAAAGAGCAAAGCAAACTTAGAAATTTTGGGGTTTATCACTGAATACAAGAATGAAATGCAGTCAGCCTGAAATAATGCCTCATCATAGGCAGACATCTTAGGAAGGTTTTTAAAAGGTTATTTTTGCTACTTGTCACAGCAATACTGTAGTGCTTGCAATTGCTAACTTTTCTATTAGGATGAAAGCAAGAAAAGGATCCTTCTCAAATTAGTAGGGTGTCAGCCAGCCCTAAGATCAACATTTATTCTTCCTTCATTCTTTAATACTATGCTCATCAGCAGGACAGAAAGGCACATGTCTTCTCTCCCAGGCATTGTAGTTTAGAAAAACAGTTCAATCAAGGTACTTTTGCTTGGCCAAAGGTCAGTGGTCCATTTAGTCATGTGCTCTCTTGTAAGTACCTGCTGTAAAAGAGATACATGAGCTCAGAAATTTCCTGCAGATTTTACTGAGTGCTGGTGCAACTCCCCCAGGGTTTCTGAAAGCATAATGGAGGCTGCTCTGTCTGCTGATAAGCACAGAAAAAAAGAAATATATAATAGGTAATAGAAGATTCAATATTATTTGTGTACATCACACTACATTACAGATATTTTTTTTCTAAGGAGAGGTCACTAGAAAATAGGCTAGGACTCTTAAAAACAATGTGCATTTTATTCTTTTTTGCAAAGCAGTTTGGAAGTGGAGCACTAGTTTTGCCAAAAGCAATTGCTGTGCATTAATATTAAACATGATCTAATGAAGGCAGAAGTCGTTTTGGGAAAACATTAAGAACAGCACAAGCATCTCCTGAATTATAAGTTTATGGCTGAGAGAAACAGTACAATGAAAATATAGGCATTTCTCCTGTCGAGGTTTTGTTCCATGACTTGGAAAAATAAAGGACAGGGAAAAGGGGAAAACTAACAGTCCCTCATGAAAAGTGTACTTCAACACTCCTCACTTCCAAAAAAATCCACAAACCAAAACAGACCCTGGCAAGCAGTCATCACTGCAATTAACAGAAAAGCCAGAAAGCTGGAATAAAATGTAATGTGAGGGAGAAAGGGCAGGGAGGGAAGCAATGCGTCTAAGAAAACTGTTTCCATACCTAAAACAAAAGTATCACTCCAAGTAAGTGCAGTGTTTGGTGCAGTTCAAAATGTTCCTTTCTTTCTGGCATATATATTAGGGATGAACCAATTAGGGAACATGTGAATCATCTGATCAATGTACAAGATAGAACAACAACAAAAAAATGGCATAATTCCCGAAGTCCTTAAAAGGGCATTTCTTAACATTTGTCTGGGTGGCTAGAATAACAAACTAATCTTCTCTATTGAAAGTCAGACTGCCCCAACAGGCCGCTAAAAGACCTCAACTATGCAGCTCATAACTAGCAAAAGCAGATTCACACTAAAAAAAAAAAAAAATTGCTGATGCCCTTGTTGTAAATCTGTCTCTATTTACACGTTGCAGTCTGCACCTTGTGGCATCCTTCAAGGCCTTATACAAATAAACATAAGGAGGCATTTTTGAGAGTGCAGTGACCCAAGGTACCTGACAGCAAGTGCTTGGAATCATCCTTGCCAGCTGGCTGCAACAGAAAATGTAATGATTCAGCAGTTTAATGGATCTCGAGTTTGGCAACAGTCCCCTTGTAAACATCTCTGGGGAAATAAAATAATACAGGCCCAAGTCTCTGGCAGGTTCTATAATTGTTTGCTTCTGGCATAAATCCAGAGGCAGCACAAGCTCTAACCTAAGGCAAATATGGCTGTACAACACTCTGACTCTCCAAGCAGGCTCTATTCAAAGCCCGAGGGTAGAATTAACTTACGTCTGACGGGGAGACAAAGATACCAGGAAAGCATTCAGCAGAAAAGAAAGTCCTTAAATATTAAGCTACCTAAATCAATACTGCTCAGTTTCACAGGAAAAGTATTTTCTCTTGACTTTTTTTTTTTAAACACAGAAGTGTGTTTTTTTAAACATAGCAGGCGAAGTTTGTTCAAAGTTGAAATATGTCAGGTTATAAACATCTTTGTTATTAAAATAAAAAAATGCTAACAGACTGTGAGAAAGAAGTAGTTTGAAAAAGAGGCAACAAATGAAGCTACTGCATGATAATTATTAAAACATGAGATATTTGTATTATCTTACAACTCCAGCAAAATACTCACTGGAAAGCCAGAAAATGAAAGATGAGTTCCCAGCTCAGAGACTCAGATGTTAGGATCTCTCAGCTGTTTATAAAAATAAAATCCTAATTCTTAGCACTTTGACTTCCATTTCGGACTTCTATTCTGAACTTCCCCCGAAATTTATACATACTAAAAATACGCAGGTTTACATTGGAAGTAACATAACGAAGCAAGAAAAATGCAGTAGGATCCTTTCATTGGCTGTACGCCCATAGAGTGCCACCAGAGGGAAGGGCCATCCTGCGAGCCTCTACGCATGCATTCACTGGCAGCGAGAATGAAGCAGCCACCAGACCATGATATGCATGTAGTCCCTTCATTTCCTATGCTCACAGGTGAGATGAATTTAAAAAGCTGTACTTTATGGGCAAGGACTTTGACAAAAGGCCATAATATATACAGAGAAACACAAAAGCTAGACTTGGGTAGGTTGTATTTGATCTTTTATTTTCAGACTGCTTGTAGTTTGATACGCCATCTATATACATTTATATCTAGGAATTTTTTTTCTTATTATCAAAACAAGCAATGGGATTTACTGACTATTCTGCATTTGCAATGGAAGGTTCTTAAGTACCGAAAACCTCTTCTACTTTAAGAGAACCACAAGAGGACTCACTGTGTTGCTTAGCCTTCTGTATGTACAAACCGTGTTGCTGGGAGAAGCAGAAAAGCATCAAGTCACAAGCACAGCTGTGTCTCGTTGTTTAGGTTTTGTCAATCACTTCTCATACCAGGCAAGAAAAGGAATGCATATCCACTAAGTTCCTCAAATATGCGCTACCAAACACAGTAATTAAAATGAAGTTGCTAATGATTAAAAAAAAATGTAGCTACTATCTCCCTCAAAACTGGAAGTGCTATCTCTAACGCAAATGCTTTCAATATTTCTCTAATTTTAACTTGGATACAGACTAGAGAGCCAAAACATGCAGACACTTACAACCACGTATAGTACTTGAACATGTTCTTGTTCAATTTGTAGAGCATTCCCTCCTGACTCTACACAGCACAAAACAGGTATCCTGAGAGATCCCCAAAGTCTTCTTTGTTCTGCTTCCAAATTCAATTATTATGCTTGGTCATTTGCCTAGATTCCTGGACAGCTACTCAACAGAAATCTGGAGCTTAAAAAAATATTTCATGGCACATTTATGAGAGCTTATTAGCATGGAAGGATACTAAAAGAGAGGGCTAAATGCTGTGTTATTGTTAATGCTTCTTCCATGGCAACATTAAAAAAACCCCATAATTACCTTTTGTAATTTCTCAGAACATCCTCATTACATTAGTTATCACAGTGATGAGTACAATGACAAGACCAGACTCCAGTAGCTTCTGAAATCTAAGTGTAGACAAGTTTTCATATTCCTCATTAAACATGCCCACATTAATTTCTTAAAAGGGCATTTAACAGTTGCACATCAATTAAAACATAAAAACTTTAAAATTCATTAAATGCTATTTAAATTCAGTAAATAAAAGCAGCAATCAGTTCTTTTCAAACCCAGTTTTATTTCTGATTGAAGAGTTCTGCTGCAGCAAATAAACTGAAGAAACTAATACAAAAAATGAACTATGAAGACAGAAATGAAAATACTTCTGACTGTTGGAGCTCCATCCTTTGTACACTACTGGGCATATGATACAAAAGAAAAGGAGAGTGCAATGAAGATGCAGTCACAGCATTTTTAAACAGTAAAAGTTTCATGTCAAGCCGTTAAAACATCATTCTATAAAAAGGTACCACCATCAGGAGAAGCTTTAACGTGTAAATATTAGATTCCAATCCATATTGCTGTCCACAGGCAGGCAGAGCCGAACTGGTGGCACTGCACAGCCCCTGGAATCGACGAACTGCACAGCTTTTCCAGCTACCCAGCTGGTGTGTCGACAGCTCCATTTAATATTCTTGTCTAGTGATACAGCAAAGACCTCTCATGCCTATTTTTAAATGCACATTTTTAATATTCAATATAATGTTACTCTTTAACAAACTCTTTACTCCCTGCTTCTTTTATGAAGCTTCCCGTGGTCTTTAAAGGGATTGTTAACCAAAGAATGGATAAAAATGCATGAGCAGATTCAGAAACACTCCATTAAACCTTTCAGTATTTAATATAAAGAGTAATCTCTCACCTCTGAGGAGATAAGCCAGTTGCTGAGTGATTAACTCTGGTGCCTCCTGAAGAATCTCTTTTACTACTAAAGAGGAAGAAGACGTTTGTAACTCCAGGCTGCCGTCACATTGCTCATCTGGATTGATGACTTTGACAACAGCTGATTCCAAACTTTTATCCTCACTATCAAGAAAATTTAAAAATTATATATATTTTTCTTTCTAGATGCTTAGACAACCCAGAAAAACAATGCAAAAAAAAAAAAAAATTAAATTCCAGACTATAACACTAGTGTCATTGCTACTTGAAGTCTGCTATAAAGCCAAAGAATGTCACAAGGAAGTCCTAAAACTGAGATTTTTTTAATGAAGTGTTCACAGTGGCTTTATTCCTTGATACATCACTAAGTGCTAGGACTTAAATGTTTACATTTCCACTACCAAAATTTTTAAAAATCAATAATTTGAAAAAAAATATTTCTACATGTACTGAAAATACAGTACCCTTTCTATAGAGGGGATTTTGAATTTTCCCCATTGAATATTTTGGCAACTTACAAAAGGGGTTTTTTTTGTTTGGTTGGGTTGGGTTTTTTTTGCATTTAGATACTTTATGTTTCTGCACGTAAAAGTAATAACAAAGCCAAACCATATTTAAGAATATAAAATGCTAATCATAATTCTTTAGAACGAAGAAACACAACAAGGGACACTAATAAACAAAAAAGCAAATCTTATGGATAATTTTTACTTTGCAAAAGTGAATGATGTACTGAGCTGACTGCAGTTAAAGAATCAATAGCTATGAGATTTACGCGTATTTCTCATTTTAGATTCCCCCTACTTTTATTCTAATCTACAGACCCCTCAGAGTAGGACGGGGCCATAGCACAACAGGATGCTACTTATCTTAAATCAAGTTCTAAAGATAGTTGGAAGTAAACAGCATCCTTCACTCTGGGCAAGACAGGCAGACCATTGTAAAGAAGCTCCCTTTGAAAGACTCACTATGGACTTGTAAATATTCCCTCTTAAGGATGTGTATATGGACTGTGGTCTTCCACAGAGTAACTCTGAGCCTCTGGTACTGAGGACATTTTAAGAAAAATGCTGTTCTTTTGAAGGACTGGAATAATCTAGCAGCCATCTTAACAACAGATATCCAAGTGTGCTGGCCATCTCCAGATTAATGTGAGCGTCTTAATGCCTTCAGTAAAAGATAACTGAGAAGCAGGAAAAAAACCCCTAATCTCTTACTTACTGGTTACAGAAAACTTCCAGACTGTTTAAATTAAATTAAAAGAGCTAATCTAAGCTGTGTGAAAATACAAGGTACTTAAAAAAGGGAGTTCCATTAAAAGTGATGGAAAGGTGGCTATTTAGTTTGTTGCATTTATTGGACATAATGGGAGACAAAATATATTTTAACTTCATTTTTTTGGGTCTGTGTTAATGTAGAAATACTAATATTAATGCAGAAAAATGTAAAATATAATTTTTAAAACAGCTCAAACCCATATAAGCCATTTTGCTGTACATACAATGCAATACCTTGTCAGCATGTTGCTGTTTACAAGTGTTAAAGACAATTTCCCTTCAGCATTCAGCTGGTGCAAATTGATTTCATCTCGGAAGATATGGAATGACTCCGGGATATTCAGCTCCTCCAATATAAATCTTGTCTCTGTGAAGTAGCTAAAATCTCTTCTTGGTATGTTCAACACGGGTAAGCAAAGAACGTCAGGAGGACTGACCTGTAACGTAGGTGTGCATTTGTCAGAGTTGCATAAAATAAGACCTGTTTTTTTATTAGGAAAATGTTTTAACAGAGTGAGCAACTAGAAACAGTCTGAATTTTTGGTTTGATTTTTTTTCTCCTTTTACTTAATTTTTTTTAAAAAAGTCTCTTGCTTGTTTTCTTGTCCTTCTGTCTCTGTTTGGTTCCTACAGAATCATTCGGAAACTAGGAAGGAGAAGGGAAAAAGAAGGATGTACAGGGGTGACTTTTTGCTGCTGTTGAATAAGCCACCTACTCATTAATTTTTGTACGGAAAGAAATGTAGATTGTGTCTATTTAAAAACCTCACCTCTGATTATAAAAAAAGCATTGTCCAGCATAATATTTTTACAATATATTTTAATTAACTTAACAATAAGAAGTCTGTAACTACCTGGAACAAATGAATTAAGACCATTTGGTCCATTTTTTCCATTACCTTGTCTAGAAAGTAGGCATAGGCCAGAGAAGAAATGAGCGAATCCAGATCACAGGATTTATTCGCAAGAACAACATGGACTTTCTCCAGGCGTTTGCTCCTGTTCTGTAACACATTAAAAGACAATTGCAATGAGTGACAATGATGAGAAAAAACAAAGTCCAATCACCAAGACACTTAAAAAAACACGTGAAATATCAGGTATTGTCCTCAGTTGCAGCGCTTTTCACCATTGGCTGAAAGAATGCACTTAGTGTGGGATCAGACAGTTTCCTTGGCTTCAAAGCTCCCAAGAAAGCCAAGAAATTTGGAGCTCACAAGAGGCCTCGGTTTAGAACTCAAACAAGATCTAACCTGACAGAAGTCCCTTTAGCACCAGAGTAACAGATAAGCAGCTTCATGTATATGGGGGAAAAGCTTTTGAAAACACCTCACGAATCTAAGAAAAGCAGTCCCAAAGAGTGTGGAAATACACACAGCAAACATACGTAGGAAGCTGTAATTTTAATTTTCCCTTTTTTCTTTGCTTGGCTGAAATGGGTAACTAGACAAAGTAAGTGGCTTTCACCCTTACTCTTCAGAAGCTGAACATGCCCTACGAACCACTGAGGGCTTCGAGTTGTTCTTACTCACAAACAGAACTCAGTCTGTTCTGTATTTAATAAAATTAGGAGCCTTCCAAATATAAGGAAAAGAAAAAACAGCCCAACTGTTTGAAAACAAAATATTGCAAGGAAGTGTCTACCGTCTTCACAATTGCACACACAAAATGTAAAAGGTGATGTTTTTCTCCTGTGCACATCATTAATGTCAAGCTAGCTGCACAAAAACATTACGGTTTATTTTCTTTTAATGAGCTATGCTTCTTATTTTGAGAAATATATCTGACTGACACTAAGGTCTCAGAATATGCAATTAAACATTGTTGTTGTTGTGATATACAAGCTGATGTACTTTTTGTTATTTTGAATTAGGCTCTGGCTATCGAGTAATATTTTAGTCTTTCAGCAGAAGTATATAATTAGTATATTATCCTCAATCATTATAAATGTGAAATTTTTTAAACTAACCTTTTTTCTCTGTGTCTAATCTTACCTCTATCTAGATAGAAGAAAGAAACTTAGTTCTCTTTCCTTTATACGGAACACAGCCGTCAAAATACCTTTGAGTAACAAAACCAGGACACCTATTCTCCATTCCCTATGTACTGGGAAAGACAGACAGCTTTCTGAAGAGTTCAGTGCCTGGAACAGGTATGTTCATTCTAGCTGCAGGCCTTCACCAGCAATAAACTGTCTCCATTTTCCTCTTTTCAATATGTTTTTTGTCATATTGTTCTTCTGTAGCGTACATTTCTGATTGATCTACCACCCTAAAGAATGAAAATAAAGTTCATGAGCTCATCCTTTTTTAGTACTATTCAGTGCATAGAAGTCTTTTTCTCTAGGTTCGTCATAACTACAAAACAAATGACTCAACCTTGAAAAAGAAGGAAATTGAATGAACTGGAAAATTGATTATTAAATCCACGAAGTCACCCACATCCAGGAATCCAGTGCAAACAATATAAAAAATTTCAACCAATCTGATTCTGCTCTGTATTTACATATTCTGTACCTATAAAACAATTTGCTTTCTGTTGCTCATAGTCCACAAAACAGTATTCCATATAGAACTAGCAACGATCCTCAACAGCCATCTAAGTTTCAGTGATGAATGTCAGACCCCTTCATCAGGTGAGTGTTTTCTTCTGAAATATTAAGACATTTTCGTGTTGTCTTTAGAATTCATTCTCTCAAGCACTAAAATCTGCACACTTGTTTTTACAACTCATATGTTGCTATGGCTTTTTTAAACTCACATGTTAGCTGTAGCCTTGTTACAACAGGCATATTGCAGTTCTAATACCTGTAGAAAATCATGTGGGAGGAGAACCACCAAAGATGGAAAATGCACCTTGTCTTAACAGCTGTTTAAAAGGAAAAGAAGGATGGGGGGGGGGCGGCGAAAATAAAAAGAAAAAAGAAAAAAGAAAAAGAAAAAAGAAAAAAGAAAAAGAAAAAAGAAAAAAGAAAAAGGAAAAAAGAAAAAGAAGAAAAAAGAAAAAGAAAAAAGAAAAAAGAAAAAGGAAAAAAGAAAAAGAAAAAAGGGAAAGAAAAAGAAAAAAGGAAAAAGGAAGAGGAAAAAGAAAAAAGAAAAAGAAAGAAAAAAAGAAAAAAGCCAACAAAACAACCCAGCATCTTTCACTCATTTGTATGTTCCATCATGCCTCTCCTCGTTATTACTTCTTCATGAATGAAGACAGAATAATTACACAAAAATTGAAGAATTCCAAGGCTGAAAGTTTCTGAACCCTACACTTGACGTCTGAAGAAATGAGAAAAGCATGGCAATAAAGAGTGGAATACAAAGAGACCATAGTGGAGCAAGAAAGCTCTGGAGACCATCTCTTCATAATCCAAACAGGTCAACTAGCCATCTGAGGACTGATCATTTTAACTCCAGCACACCAGAATTTCATCAACACATATGAACGAGAAGAGACTGCAGAAGGACAGGCCATCTCCTTGGGCTGTTCTCAAGAGCTTAACAAGAACTCTGAGATGGAGCTTATTAAGCTGAGTTTTTAAAATGGCAGTAAGTATAGTAACAGTGACAGGGTGTATTTCTTGATGAGGCTGTTAACATACTAGCCCTCTAAACGACTGCTGGTTTCCTTCAGAATATTTCTGCCTAAACCACACATGCAGCCGAGATGACCTACTAGCTACTG